CTGGGGAGGTAATTTTTTTTAATTGGATTTTATTTTATTCCGGCAAAGTTTTTTGCACCCGACAACTGCCAGAAAAATTTTCCGGCGAAACAATTCTACTGGAAAAACTTTCCGATGGATTTTTTACTACGGAAAGTTTTCCGAAGCTCGAATTACCATTGCAATCTTTTTCGCTGGAGATCCGCCGGAAGATTTTAAAATCCATTGGGAAATTCAGTTTTTTACGTCAGAAAATCCGCTGCATGTACGCGATTTCCTATAGTGGCATCATATATATTGGGCTGACCTTTTGTCTTGCTCTTAGGCTTGGAGGTTTGGAATTATCAACGAGTTGACGTGGTCTGCGTTTGACAATAACAAGCAATGCTTTTGACAAATGTTTCTCCTCTAGTGCTGATAAATTCAAGTGGCTAGGAAAGTTGCGTTTGCACCGTAGAGAGGGACTATTTGGTGGAGATTGCAGCATATGATACCCTTCCAACAAATTGAAGGCTGAATTGGGTTGGCCTTATTGTGGCGATAGGCAAGCATTTTGAGCATTGAGACCGTATTCAGGTTGTGATTCAAGCTATTATTTCTATACTAACCTTCTGGAGCCTAGGATATATGAGGTCAAAGGAGTTCACATTGAAGTTGTTATAAAAAATGTACAACAATCCATGAATGATATCACTTTGTGAAAAAAACTGGAGAATGGAGCTGATCTTAACATCCTCACTAGGTTTCATCATGTGATTTTTCACCGTGTCTATTGACAGTGCAATAAAGCTATTGATTATTGGTCAAAGCTAGCTTTAGAAAGTTATTGGGTTTAGAAAGAAAATGATGACATTTAAGTTCACCTATTTTTATCTTCATTAACAAGAGAGATGGGTAATATTCTTATTGATCTTCCTTCCTCCCTCTTGATGTAGGATCCTGCACTAGAAACGTTAAGTAAAACAGAGAAATTCAATGGAACAGTAGCTTGTTCCGAAATCTGCACTGAAAGCAGAAGTTCTGTATTAGAAAACTTGAAAAACTAACTTGCCTTCTTCCTCCTATTGCCTAAGTATTCTTTCTCACAGGAAAAGACTAAAATGGCTAAACTATTAAAAAGCAAACACATGATAGCAGAGAATAAAAAGGGAATATAGGTAGTGGAAACATCCTAACTAACAAAAAGTTGAGTAATGCTAATAAGTTAAACCGCAACAGTCCGGTGGTAAAATGCTCCGCATCATTCGCTCCCACCGCAAAGAAGATTGCTGTCTCCTGAAAGCATCGTAGTGTTGCCGTCGTCAGTTGGTATGTACTGGTAGATGTCTGTCACATTGAATGTGTTTGAAGTTTGAAATTCTGCGGGTAAATCAATAACATAGGCGTTATTGTTAATGCGATGGATCACAGTGAATGGCCCAAATTTGTGACGAGAAAGTTTGGAATAATCTCCAGGTGGTAGGCGCTCTCGTCTCAGTCTAACCAGAACAAGGTCTCCCGGATTAAATATTTTCTCCCTGCGATGCAGATCCGCATGTTGTTTATAGGTTTGATTTGAATCCATCAGCCTCGTGCGCACCTTGGCCAGCATTTCCGAAAACTGATCAGTAAGTGCAGCTGCTGCTTGATTTGTACACTTGGGCAAAGCTGCAAGATCAACAATAGTGTTGGGCATTTTAGTATAAACAATACTAAATGGCGACCTACCCGTCGATCGATTCACCATGGCGTTGAATGCAAACTCCGCCTGACATAACACCTCGTCCCAAAGTTTTGGGTTCTCTTGCACCAAGCAACGAAGTAAATTTCCGAGTGTTCTATTTACCACCTCGGTCTGCCCGTCTGTTTGCGGATGATAAGATGAGCTAAGCTGCAGCTGAGTACTCAATCGCTTCCACAATTCTCGCCAAAAATGGCTAATAAATTTAACGTCACGATCAGAAGTTAGTGACCGCAGTACACCATGTAATCGGACGATTTCACGGAAAAATAATTTGGCTATATTAAGTGCATCGAAGGTTTTCTTACAAGCTATAAAATGAGCCATCTTGAAAAACCTGTCCACGACCACCATGATTGAGTCGTTTCCACGGCGAGTGCGAGGCAGCCCCAATACAAAATCTAGACTGAGGTCTTCCCAAATAGATTCGGGCACTGGTAATGGCATGTACAAGCCGGTATTCTGCCCGCCTCCCTTATATTGTTGACAGATGGAACATCTTTCAACAAACTTGGCGACATCCCTCCGCATATGCGGCCAGAAAAATTTCGTCTGTAACTGAGCCAATGTGTTGTCTCTACCAGCATGCGCAGCCAACCCTCCGCTATGAATTTCTTTGATAATCTGTTGACGCCATGACGATTTGGGCACACACAGTGAATTTCCTTTAAAGAGAAAACCATGCCTTACGGTGAAATCTTCAACAGGTTCCTTGTTGAGGCATTTAGACCAAGCTAAGCTGAAATCGGGATATTCTGGATACAATTCGGTCAGACCTTCCAACCCCAAGAATTCCGTCTGCAATTGCGTAATCAATGCCGATCGTCTGCTCAAGGCATCCGCCACCCTATTGTGCTTACCGCTTTTGTGTTTTAACACAAAAGTGAATTTTTGTAAAAATAATATCCACCTGGCATGCATCCGATTTATATTTTTTTGGGTATTGATATATTGCAACGCTTTGTGGTCGCTGCATAGAACGAAGTCTTGTTGAAGCAAATAATGTTCCCACTGTCGTAATGCTCGGACAACTGCATACAATTCCTGCTCATATACCGTCCAGCGCTGTCTAGGAAGGCTTAACTTCTCACTAAAAAATTCAATAGGTCTATCCTCTTGAGATAACACAGCACCAATCCCAATAGTAGACGCATCCGTCTCAACAGTAAAAGGCTTATCAAAACTGGGTAGTGCTAGGACAGGAGTTGAGGTCAATGCATCTTTGACATTCTCAAAACTCAATTGCTGCTCTTCACCCCACATGAATTTCTTCATTTTCAAAACATCTGTTATCGGAGCCATCAACATACTGAAGCCTTTAATAAATCTTCGGTAAAAATTAGCCAACCCATGGAAGCTACGGATGTCGGTGAATGACACAGGCGTTGGCCAATCTCGGATGGCCTTAACCTTTGCTGGTTCGGCACTTATGCCCTCACCCGAAATTCTTAAGCCCAAAAATGAAACCACAGCTGTAGCAAATTCACATTTTGTGGTATTCAAATACAACTTATTTCCTCTTAGTGCCTTCAAGATTTCAGTCAAATGGCTTAAATGCTCCTCCAGATTGTGGCTAAAAACCAATATATCATCAAAATACGCAACGCAACAGCGATTTAAAAATGGTTTGAGTACCTCATTCATCACCCGCATAAAGGTTGCAGGAGCATTACATAATCCAAAAGGCATTACCTTCCATTCATAAAGGCCTTCCCTTGTTTTAAAAGCTTTTTTCCACTCGTCACCCGGCCTGATTCGTATTTGGTGATAGCCGCTGCGAAGATCTAGTTTAGAAAAAACTTAGGAGCCGGCCAGCCTTTCGACCATTTCTTCCATTCGTGGCATAGGAAATCTGAACTTCACAGTTATTTTATTAATTGCCCGACTTTCCATACACATTCTCCAATTACCATCCTTTTTTGGTACCAACAAAACCGGTACGGCACAAGGGCTCAAACTATGTTGTATTAAGTTCTTTTCCAATAGTTCCTCCACTATTTGCTGCAGAATTTTATTTTCGTTTGGGCTGAGCCAGTAATGTGGTAGATTCGGCAAGGAGGCGCCCGGCATGAAATCAATTTGGTGTTGTATTGATCTCATAGGTGGTAATTCAGTCGGCTGAATAACTGAGCAAACATCTGAGAATTCCTCCAAAATGCTCTGCAGTTCCGCTTAAACATTTGTTTCAGCTGGACCTTCCGCCACTTCCTTGACTATCAAGGCAGAAATGCTGGATGACTCCTTCCATGCATTTAACATTGCAGTAGTAGATGATGAGTGCAAAGCAGTCTTACTTTTTGAAGCATTACTTTCTTGCCCAGATTGATTGGGTATCAACCGCAATCGATGACCCTTCCAGTCAAATGAATAGGTATTAGCTCGGCAGTCATAAAAGGCTCCAACGTCGTATTGCCATGGCCTTCCCAGACTAATATGGCATACATCCATGTCCAGTACATCACATAACACTTCACTAGCATAGTGCTTGCCGATTGAAAAGGAGACTTTGCATAAATCTGTCACGGACATTTCGACTCCCTTCTTAACCCAACTAATCTTGTAAGGGTTAGGATTCTTTGTTGTTTTGAGCTTTAAGGCGTGCACCACCGCTCGAGAAATTACATTCTCCGTACAACCACTGTCCACCAGCAGGTCACAAACCTTGCCACCTATGGTGCACTTAGTCCGGAATAATGCGTTGCGCTGCGACGTGCACGGTTGTTTTGGTGCTAGTAATAGCTTCTCCATAACACAAATGAGAGGCTCGCCTACATCCCCGGTTACCTCCTCAAAGTCATTCTCTTCCTCAATTTCATTATCATCTTCTTCCTCATCTGCTTCGGCATCCACTAACTGCAGTTGAGGTCTCGACGGACACTCATTGGACTTATGCCCCATTTGGAAACAACGAAAACATTTAATGTTTGTAGCCTTAGCATATGGATTTTCTCGAATTGGTGCCCGATTTTTCTGTAAACCTTTTGGATCATTAACCTTGCTGGTTATACTGTTTGGTCCGCCAATACCAGACATTCCAACAGCTGGCTTAATTGCTTGTGAGGCATTCTGTTGCACTTGCCTTGTACCATCCGCAGAATGTTCGGAAATTCTCCTGTATGAACCAGACCTGCTGTGCCTTTGTAGCTGTAACTCCACTTTCAAAGCATAGTTGATGGCTTGGGATAATGTCCATACTGAATTTAATTCAAGCTTGTCTTGTATTGCTTCCTTCAATCCTCCAATGTATCGCGCAACAACCTGGTTGGTAGTCTCGTTTAAGTTATTTCGCGCACTTAAACGATAAAATTCCTCCGTGTACTCGTTCACCGAATGATGTCCTTGCGAGCAATGTTGATACTGCATATATAACATTTGCTCATAATCTGTAGGCAAATAATGTCCGCGCAGCAATTGCTTCATTCGGTGCCAACTGCGCACGATTCCCCTTCCTTCCTTCCGCCTAGTTTGAAGCACCTGTTGCCACCATGCGCTCGCGCCTCCTTTAAGCCTACAAGCCACATACTTCACCTGCCTTTCGGGATTAATTTCCATATACTCAAAAAAATTTTCGACAGCTCGCTCCCAGTCTAAATAATCTTCAATATGCAATTTGCCGTCAAAATAAGGAATGTCTAATTTAATCCGGCACTCACCCTGATAGCGATCATGATCTCTCGGACGCCTCCGACGCCCATGGTGAATTTCTTCTTCCGATTCTGAAGCTTCCAACTGCTCGAAAACTTCAAACTCCCCTTCTGAGTCGGACGCTTCTAATATTTGCGGACCCCTTGGCCTCTGTCGCTCCGCGCGAACTCCCCTACTTGCTGCCGGTAACGGTGCGTGATTCAAGGTCCGAGTTACGTGCATCCTATCTAGTCTCGCATTGATGTCGCGCATTCCTTGACGCAGTTCTTCGTGAATGCGCTGAAGGTCTGATGCGAGCTCATTGGTATGCTGCGACAGCTTGTTATGCTCCTCCCATAAAACTTCAAGGCTATTGTTGACCTCGGGAGCCACCCGCCTGCTACTCTAAGCCATCTAGCTCTGATACCAATACTGATGTAGGATCCTGCACTAGAAACGTTAAGTAAAATAGAGAAATTCAATGGAACAGTAGCTTGTTCCGAAATCTGCACTGGAAGCAGAAGTTCTGTATTAGAAAACTTGAAAAACTAACTTGCCTTCTTCCTCCTATCGCCTAAGTATTCTTTCTCACAGGAAAGGACTAAAATGGCTAAACTATTAAAAAGCAAACACATGACAGCAGAGAATAAAAAGGGAATATAGGTAGTGGAAACATCCTAACTAACAGAAAGTTGAGTAATGCTAATAAGTTAAACCGCAGGAGTCCGGTGGTAAAATGCTACGCATCACCTCTCCCCTGATGCTTCGTCCCCAACGCTTCACTAGGGCATTGCCCTAGCCACCAACGCACCCACTCACCAATCCTTTTAGCTCCCATGCTCCGCTAGGGATTCGTCGGCTCCTCCGGCCCATGGTGGCCGGAATGGTGGTGAACCACTTGGTGGATCATGGTTTCCTGAAGGAACAAATCGCATTCGTTTCTTGATGTTCTTTCTGGTATCCCTTCGGATGTGAACTTTTCTGGCCTAAAGGAGACAAGTTTTAATGGTTTATCATCCTTGTGGATCTCGGAGAAGGAAATCTCGCCGTCGCGGCTCCACTTCAATTTGATTTGATTAGTAAATTTCTTACTTGCCGTCCCTCTCTTTATTCTATTTAGAGGTTTTTCTTTAAGCTCAAGCTTAACGGTGAATTTTCAGTGACTTTGCTAATTCCTTCGCATGTTCTCATAAAGTTGGTGAATGATTTTGATTATAGTTGTGTCTTCTCCCATAGATCTTATTTAGTTAACAATTGCTACATGAAATTTACCAAATGGTCACCCCTTTTTGATATCGACGTGAAATCTCTGATCATCTCTATATGGGTTCCTTCCCTAATTTACGGCCTCACCTTTTCTCACCTCGTATTCTTCATGCTCTGGGTTCATTGTTTGGTCTCCCTGTTAAAATTGATAATGCTACTTGTGTGGGTTCCCGTCTTTCAGTGGCACGCAATTTAGTTGAGCTTGACATTACTAAAAAAAATCCTAATAGATTGTGGCTAGTGCCCGAAAAATTTGGTTACATTCAATGTGTTGAAATTGAGGTTATCCCTTACTATTGTGGTCTATGTAAATGTTTATGGAATTTAAAAGGTGATTATCATCCTCTTTATAACTAAGTACTGTCTTTTCCCTCAGTTAATCCTAATTTACCTATTTCTTCAGTGTATGCTCCATCGCATTCATTTCTTCCTCTTTCGCCAGTGCCATGTTTAGTGGATAATGGGGACATGAACTTGGAAAACCATTTCTCTGTGGATGATGGTCATGGTGATGCTCATAACGCTAATGAAGTTTAGAATGTTGAGGAGGAAGTTGATCCTTCTAATGATCGATGTTCTGCAATTGGCTATTTCTTCTGATTTCCGAGAGGATGCTAAAAAGATATTGGATTCCAATAATTGTGTAATAAACTTAGTCACTTCTCCTTGTGCATCCCCATCTATTTTGGTTTGTGTAAAGGTGAGGACTGTTGTGGATCTGCTCTTAATTTTGTTTCTTTGGATGCTGAGACTTGTGATTTAGGTGTTGGGACCTCGGATGTGCTGGTTACATGTGGGAATGTTGAGGATTCTAATAGCGTGGATCTGTCGGATGAATCTGTACCGGTTTCTCCTATTAGTGCATCTTCTCCGAGGGTGTTGACCATGTGTTTAAAAATGATGGTGCGTCTCTTGTTGATGGGCCTATATCCGTTATTTCCAATGATACATTATTAGCTCACCTAGCTTGTAAATTGAGGGGAAATGAGGTGATGTAGGGTGACTGGTTAAATCATGACAATTCTTCAGCTGGAGCAGAAGAAAGAAATGAGACTGATTTGGATTATTAAAATAACATTGATTTAAGTATTTTTCAAATTGCTGAAGCTAATTCTTTTAGAAAGAGTAGTAAGCATAGACTACAAAAATAAAATAAAAAGAAATGATTTTCTTTTTGGATTTGACCTTCTTTCTGTTGTTGGCATTTGTTTGGTTGGATTTGGCTTCTTTCTTTGGAGTGATATGGGTGGTACTGATGGCCCCTGTTTTTTATCATTTTCCTTTGCCTGGGATCTTTTTGGCTTTCAAACTCGAGCTGTCTTTTTTTTTTTTTTATGGATTGCCTTGGGTGGTGGTGGTCCTTTTAGACCCATGGTTTGATGGCAAAGCTGTAGGGTGCTAGTTATTATTTTTTCGGACTATGATGATGCAGGCTTCCTGCACGCCCCCGAATATATGGCCATGGCTTGTTTTGGAAAATTGGGAGGTTCCTATGTATTCTAGGGTGGCTATCATATTTGGGTCTTCTCGTTGATTATTCCTTCATTGGATGGTCCATGATTGACAATCGAGTGGCATTTCTGAGTCCAACACTTTGAAATACTTTTCCTTTACATTTTACATTGCATTTGTTGTTTAATGTGGTATCTTTAGTTTTGTATTTTTCATTTTTGACTTTGTTGGCGTATTGTTTGTAAGCCCCTTTTCTTTTGGAATGAAATTTGTTTTTGTTAAAAAAAAAAGGGTAATAGTTTTAGGTTTAGTCAATTAATTGTAAATGCTGATTGTTTTTGTTTTTTAATAAATGCAGATGCAGTAATATATATAAACAGAAGTTATATGCTTCGTTTTGGGAAAGTCTAATTTGTTTTTTTTTTTAAATATTTCCTCTAGTTAGGATATTCTACTAGAGTTTCAAATTATTAAATATTTTTCTCTAATTCAATTGAGAGTATTCTAAAAAGATCATCACTTTGAAGATGTAATTAACTATATAGGTTTATCTTTATGGGGCACTTGCATCCATAATATAATAAACAATATTTTACTTGAAATAAGGGAAAATCTCTAGAATCATGGATATGTTTAAATTTTTTTTTTAATATAATGTAGAATATCTTTTTTATCATTTGAAATGATATGTTATTCTCTGGATAGTATTTAATTTAAATAATATAAAATTTTGAAATATATGATTTAGTTTTCTAAGAGATTTTTTGATAGGGTTTTAAAACTCACAAAATTTTAATGATTTATTAAATTTTTAGAACCTCATTTTAAATTCCAATTTGATAATTCTGTTTTTGAAGTTATGAGAATCTTATGATTTTGAACCTCTTATTGAAATAAAGAAATTGGTTGTTAGGTGCTAAACTCATCAAAAAATTAAATCAAAATAAAAATTATTTTCAAAATCTAAAATCCTTCAAAAATATAAAAATCCAATAAAATTTAACTTTTCTTCAAAATTCAAAATTTCCTCCCAAAAATACAAATCAATCACCTCAGAAAAAGTTTTAATTATAAACTTCTTATTAATTTTGTTAATAATTTCGTTTTCAAAATCCATAAAATCTAAAATCAAAATCAAAATTCAAATATTAAGGATATATTATTATTTTAAAATCTAAAATTCGAGCCGAAGGACCTTCCAAAGCTTCTCCAACTCGATTCATAGCTCGTTTGGACGCGGTTTCAACTAGAAAAATATATGAGGACAATCTACAAGCTCAACCGTTTGAAGATCTCGAAGATCTAAAGGTAAGAATTTATCAAAAAATCTTAGATCTAGGTCACTATACTTAGATCTATACAGATTTATAATAAGTGCTTTTTAGAGCTTCTAAACACCACCCAAGCTTTTTGTTCTTGATGTTAACCTAAGTTTAAAATTTCATTAAATTTTGACATCTCGAACGAGAGAACGAATATTGTTTTTGTTTAAAAAAAGGATTAAAAATTAATTTAAAATTATTTTAAAATCTAAAAAAAATCATATAATATAACATTTTCTTCATGATTTTACCCTCTTTATTTTAAAATTAAAATTATCCTTAAATATGATATATATTTTAAATTATCCTTAAATCAGAATTTTGTATTTTTCATTTTTTAAATTTATTGTTCTTTTTGAAACAAATATTAACTTCAATTAACCACAAATATTTTTGTATCAAAATAATAACCAAACTCAAATCATATTGCAAAAAAAAGGAGGAAAGTAAAATTGTAGCAAAGTAAATGCAAACAAAAAAATTTTAGCAGTTCAGTTAATTTGACCTAAATACACTCCCCGAAATCATTCTCTTCAAGTATTTTGAAAAATAATAATGACTCTCACTACAAAAAAATATCCAATTACCAGCAGCTTTTTCTGGCAATTAGTATGAAGTTTCCATTGATTTTCAAAACTACTAGCGATTTTTCAGCAGTTTTTTAACCGCTGGTATAAACCGCGTAGGGAACAAATTACGGTCGTCAGTTTCCAATGGCTAACTTTTCTGGCAGTTAACACAGCCGGTTCATTTAGGCGGTCATAATGCCGTTGACTACCGATAATTTCTGGCCATCTCAAAAGAAGGTTTTACTGGCGGGCCAGCCGCCGGTTGACCGCCAGTATTTATCGGTAGATATATTAAAATTTTGGTGGTTAAAAGAAGCATATGGTATCGATTTTTCTGGCAATCAAACCGTTGGTTTGCCGCCAGAAACCTGTAACATTTTTATAAAAATATTGACAGTCCCAACTCTATTTACTTCAATTTCCACAATACTTGCCCAAAATTCAAAATTTATATAACATATAAGGTCAACACACAACTATAATCAACCCACACAAATGGAGTCAGAAATAAACATATATAACATTCAATAGCAAAACACAATCAACAAATCAAAATTAATAATAAGTAGAAATAAATGTTTCAACAAAGAGAAATGCATATGTTCTATAATAAACATAACATATAAAATCCACA